CGTGCAAATGACACCACTTGGTACTGAAAACACCTGCTAGCTTCTGGGGGGTGCTACCAGCAGTACCCTGAGAAGACCCTTCTTTAAAGGCCCACGTGTTAGCGGAAGCCACTTATGACCATAAGGATGCTTGCAGAAAGGAGCTCTGAATTAAAAAAACTCTGCCCTTAGTGAGAACAAACTCCAACCCCGAGTTGGATTAAATGTGCAGTTGTGCCTTCACACTAAAGAATAAGGTCCGCTCATCCTCCGAGCAGCACCAGTGGGTCTTACACATACTAAAGAGCTGGAAATGTAAACATGAGCCACAACTTCAGTGCGATCAGTATGGATCCGGGCTTTTGGTTCACCACGGGAAAAAGTGTAGGTTTTCTCCTTCAAGGGAGAAGAAACTTGTGGCAGCCAGGGGCTATAGACTGAGCTGCCCCGTGCCAGGGATTCCACCTGCTGCTTCTGCGCCCTCTGCCTCCTCCCAGGCCTGCAGGCAGGTATATACAGAGGCAGCAGTGGGAAGGCCTGGAGGGAGGGGGGACATGGGGCAAGAGTGCTGGGGGAAGCACCAGACCACGACAGGTGTCAGGCATGGCTGGGGCCCTTTATGGATCCACAGTGGGTGCAGAGAGCAATGGGCCTTCCTCTTCCAAGGAACTCCACCTGCTCCCCTCACACCCAGCCCAGGGGCTTGGGCTCAACTTTAATAGGCTGTCCCAACCCCTGGGCCTGTGTGCACACAGCAAGCACCCTCCCTGCTTCTCCCAGCAGCCAGGCTCACCCCCATCCCCATCAGTCAACCGGACCTTCCACCACCCCTTTTTTTTTGTTTTGTTTTTGATTGCACCACTGACCAATGTGGAAGAAAAAAAAACCCAAAACAAATGTGCACTTTACCAGAAGGGGCAGAATGGTAGCTAGACCCAGCTCCACAGCATCTGTAGACATTGGGCACTTCAGCAGGGCTTTTTGGCACTTTCATCTAATAGTTGATTCAATCAGCTGTTAGGTAAAAGCTCCAAAAAGCCCGGCTGAAGTGCCCGATCTATACAGATGCTGGGCAAGCTGGGTCCAATTAACACGCTGTCTCTTCTGGCCATGTGTTGGGCTTGGCGTGGGGGTGTGCCAAGCTCAAAGTAAAACACCAGGGTTTTTTTCCCCTCCATGTCTGTAAGCAGATGGCTTCATTGGCAAGTGGCAGGGGGCAGCAATGAATAATGCTGCAGCCCACACAGTCCTCCAAGGTAGCTGGTGATGCGCACCCTGCCCTCGCCAAGGCATGGCTCCCACGGACTTCTCCTCTGTTCCCGGTATAGGAGGGGCTGGAGTGGGCAGAGAAGCGAGGCACAGCCTCCAAGACAGGCCCTGGCAGGACCAGGGGGCTGCAGGTTGGAGGTGCAGAGCACCAGCAGGGTTGGGGGACAGTGGGTCAGGAGTGAGGGGCACCAGCACAGAAGTCAGGGCTGCTCAGCACCACAAAGCAAGGGGGGGGAAAAAAGACAGCCACAGCTGGACCCATGTCCTGGTGAGCAGACAGGGCTCTGGTTTTCCATGACTTAAAACAAAACAAACAAAAGACAACCAAATCAAATGCCAAAAATATATAGGTATTTAGAATTTATTTTAATTCTCATTGAGGCACCGGTAGGCTTCCAATTTTTATGTTTCTATAGAGTTTCATTTTAACTGCAGAAAAATATGGATTTGGGTTTTTTGTTTTTGTTTAAGTTAGAGAATTTATCATTTGTTTTTAAAATCAGAGATTTTATGGTTTTTTAAAAACAAAGAAAACCAGGATCCCTGGTGATCAGCTAACAGAAAGCATATTTTAAAACAAAACAACCCCTCCTGACCCTAAACTGACCATGGTCATGGAAAGGCCCCTCTACTGCATTATGCCATTTTTTTCTCTTGGTGGTGTTCAGGGGGAGCCACAGTGCGTTTCCTGGGAAGTAAACAGTTAATAGTGGGTAGGGCAAACATCTTCTCCATATAAATCACATTAAAACCATCTCAAATTTATCACAGGATTAAGACCTCTTTTCACTTTCTCCCATTACAGGAAATAATCCTAGGTGTTGCATACTTCATCTTAGCATGCAAACTTTTTTTACTAACTATATTTGTTATAAAAAGAGTCATTATAAACCCACACGTTCACCCCCAAGCTCCTCACCCAGCCATCCAGAGAAAACCCAAGTCCAGCCCCAGCCAGTTTTCCACATTCTAGATACCTTTCATCCCTGGAAAGAGGTACAAACCTTGGCTTCATGCCAAAGTGAAAGGGAGTTCAGTGATCTCATCCTAGTCCCCATCCACTACAAAACTAACAGATGATTTAGTATGATTGGCAGTCTCTGCTCAACCAAGGTCTCAGGGAGAAGTCGCAGGTGTTTGCTAAGATCACGATGCACTGGCAGACCCACAGCGGAAGCCTGCATAGCACCTGTCCAAACTGTGCCAGGCTCAGCCTAGTGTTATTGTGAACAAAAAAAAAAAAGATAGATTCAACCACAGAACTGGAAGCACATGAAATCTGTATCTCTGAAGAAACCAAATCTACCTAGATGCTAATCATCATCAAGACTGGGCAGGACCTGCTGCGTCTCAGACTTGCGCGCTCATATTGAAGTGCAACTTCAGGGAAGACGGGCTGAACTGGTATCTGAACCACAGGGCAGGGGATGCTGGCTGAAGTGATCGGCTGCTCTCGTTACATGTGGTGATGAAAGACATGTGCCCCACCAGAACACGGGAGGGAGGAAGAGCAGCCAGCAGGCTAATCACACAGGGATCTCTCCTGCCCTTTGTTTGTATCCGCTTCATAAAGAAAGGACTCTTGTCAATTTGTTTAGGATCAAACATGGACTTTCCCAAGGAAAAGAAAAATCCCACAAAGCATCCCTACTGACGGTGGAAACGACCAAGCACCATAGCTGTGCTGTCAACACAGAAGCCTCCTTCTCAGCCGAGTAGGAAGTTGCCACTAGCTGTAGCACAGGACAGCAATGAACTGCCATCTGATCTGGGGTCCTACTAAGCTTGCCTTGTGTTATCTCCTAGACTTGGAAGCAGTTATATGATGCCCTTGTTTGCAATTCTCTGGTCCCCCTCAGGAACAAAATCCTGCCTTGTCTTCAAGGACCAGGCATTACACAGGAGTTTTCAGATCCCAGAAGGCCCTTTCATTCACGCAGCAGCCCACATGCTGCCAACCGAAGCAAAATACATGACTGAAAATAAAACCAAACTGCCGATCTTCTGGAACACCAACCAGGCAGCATGAATTTGCCCTGAAGAACGAGTTTTATCCACCTTTGTTATCTTGTCCCTTTTGTTTCTTTCTGCAAAACTGCAACAGCCGGGAGGCTACGGAGCCATCTAAAGAGCATCAGTAAACAAAAAGAGCAGAGACAGATGGCTGCAGCTCAGTTTATACCAGCACTGGATCCAACCTCCCCCCAGCATCTCTCCAGCTTCCCATAGGAACAAACACAAGACCAAATCCCGGCATAAAATAATACATATTATACAGAAATCTGATAAGGACAAGGTCACTGTGAGGACCTGGTGCCAGGGTCTGGAGCTCTCAAGTACCCTTCATTTATGGTAAACAGACATTAAGACTGAATAGCCTTTCACTAGCACAACAATGGCGACAGACTTTAGGAGAACTGAAACAATATCTGCCAAAGCCCTCCAGGCCAAATGCTCAGCCAAAGCACTACTGCATTTAAAAAGCAATAGGGAGAGAAGACCCAGGGATCTCCATCCATTTACATCACCCCTCGGAGAACTAGGGCAACTTGAGACAATGAAAACATCTCTGATGGGCCTCCCTCTTTGAACCTCTTCAGGGTCTTGAGTGCATCATCAACACAGGAATTCAATCCTGTTTGCAGATGTCCAAGTTATTCCCTTATTAAAATATAGGCTGGGGGGGGGGGGGGGGGGGAAAAAAAAAAAAAAATATAAAGGGGGGGGGGGGGGGGGGGGAGGAATATAAAAATCAAGATTACATACATGCTCAAAGACAATGATACAATGCTACTTGATCACACCACTTCTCTTCAGACAACATTTATACTCAAAGGTGAGGAGACTTAATGGAAGATGTTGTTCACCACTGCATGATACAAGTAGGAGTCAGATGCCCACATACAATCTTATGCCCGTTTGATCCAAGCATTCACTTTGCCTCATTCAGACTCAACTCTGAAACCTAGTCGTCAAGCCTTGAACACACAGACATGGGAATGGCATCAAATATGCTTCCCAAAACAAGAAATACCTTCCCATTTAGACTCTGCCCAAGCTAAATAAACTACAACATGTAAGGCTTCCGATTCATGCTCTTGCCTCATGTATGAGGATACAAGCCTGAGGGCTGGACCAGCACTGTACCCAGTCAATAGTCATTAAGAGGAAGACATGAGAGAGCATGGAGTTGGAGTCTCCCAGTTAGTTATGGGCAGGGGGACAAAAAAAAGGAGAGCTGAGGAAGGAGTCCTTGTCTTACTAATGTAATGGCTTGGTAGGGATGCCAGGTTAGAGCACCACTGGCCTACAGCCACTGATGGGGCAGGGTTTAGTCCCTTAATGACAACAGCTGGGGGACGGGGGAATTTTGGCTAAAGAAACTGGTCAAACCTGTTTCCTTGTAGAAAAGGCCCAGAGAAACTACGATGTACACGTGGAGACATCAAGACCATGCTTTACATAGAGTCTTGAAAAACACAAGGTAAATTGCACAGAGCTTTATTCATCTTCTCCAGAAGGATGCAGCGCTGACTCAGCCCTCCCGGGAATCAAACCTTAGGTTCCAAGACGGTCCCAGATGCATCCCAAGTCGGAGGCACTGCTCGCTGGCCGTCCCCCATGACACCAACAGGGCTCTCTCCAAGCTGCCTCCCTTTGCACAATCTTCCTAGGAAGCCTGTGAGGTTGTACCTCCTGCCCTCCCCACATTACCAGCCAACCAAAGCCCTGTTTAAACAAAATACAGGTACCTGTATCTCCATGGAAACAGCTGTCCTGATGACTTCTCCCAGACGGTAAGTCTCCATCATTTGGCCAGATCTGCCCTGTTTTTCGTACTCCTACAATTGTAGCTTCAGACACAACAACCTGCTGTGGCCTGTGCCGCTTTTGAGACTGAGGAGTCGGTGGGCTGCTGCTGTCAAAGGACTGCTGTGAATTCTGGGACGGAGAACGGCTTTTATCCCGATACATGCGGTAAGCGGTGGGGCTGGGAGAAACGTGGCTGGACTGACCTGAAGAGAAGTCCTCCTCGCTGGATGTGAGGTTCTCATTAGAGCTACAGTCAGGGGTATACCCTCCCCCAATGTCCTCAAAACTCCTGGGGGAATAAGACCTCCTGGGCCATGTAAGATGCTTCTCCTGGTCAGACATACTTTGATTTTGCAGGACAGATCCTTTGCTTTCTCCTTCCCCCATCATCCCACCAACGTAGATGCTTTGGTAGGGCTGAAAGTCCATTGGTTGCCATGGTGCTCGGTTGCCCCCATTGGCGTTTATCAGGTTGTCTTTCAGAAACCTGGGGTTCAGTTCAGCGTCCTCATAGTCGCCATCATAGCCGAAGGTGCTCTCAGAGGATCTCCCCCTGTAGGTGGCAAAGCTGGCTACCATGTTCGGAGGAAGAGAATGCAAAGACTTTTTGCGCTCCATCTGCATGGCTTGGCTACCCAGGGAGCTTATCTTATCTGAAACATCTTTATCGTTGACTTTCACAAGCCCCTTCTCATGGTGGTACTCCATGTTCACGTAAAAGGGCTTCTCCGGAGCATCCTTGCTATCTGTAGAGGAATGCAAGTTTATCTTTTTAATCCGCTCAAAATTGGACCTCAGCGCCGCCACACTGGTAGTGTTCCCTCTCTCCTTCGCAATTGGCTCGAAAGACCCCTCTCTCTCAGCGGATCCTGCCAGCCTGCGAGCGGAAGCAGGCTTGTGCTTGGAAGGGGACCCCTCTGTATCGCAGCGGTTCTCCGTGTCCTCCACAACTCTCTTCAGCTTTTCTTCGCTGTAGTATTTACACCTGTCCTGATCCCCTTCCCCGTGGTGGGGACTGTCCAGCAGCGACAGGTCTGACCCGTCGCTCTGGGTGGACAGTTTCCGCAGAGAAGGTATCCTTGGCTTGAACCTCTCCTCTCCGTGATGGGGCTTGTTTTTTTCCAGCTCCCCTTGCTCAGCCGGTTGGTGATGTGGGTCTTGATTCTGCTGCTCCGCAGCCCCTTCAGGCAGATGGGAAACTCGCTTAAATCCCCACCTCTGCCGGTCATAGCTCTTCTTCTCCTTGGCCAGGAGGGTCTGCAGGTAGATCATGCGGAACCTCTCCTTGTTGACTTCCATCTCCAGCCTCCGGATGGAGGCTTTGCACAGCTCCAGCTCCTGCTCGATATCTCCCACCGATTTCAGCTCCATCTTGGGAGGCTCCGAGTCTGCAAACTGAGCTTTCCAAGCCTCCACAAACCCCACTGGGTCCACCATTTTGCATCCGAGAATAGACCAGGGTAAGGACCGGGGGCGGCGTGTGCCAGCCAAATCTCACATGGAGCTGCAGCAGCAGACAGCCAAGGGTTAACTCACGAAATGCGTCTCCTCCGCGATCCACGCCGGAGAAGAGGGCGCAGAGGCAGCTGCTTCTGGCCCTGGGAAGGTCTCTCGTCCCCGTCGCCTCGCACCACCACCCGCAGCGTCAGCCCCGGCCGGACCGGCGTCTGCCCGAGAACAACGGCGCTCGCGCCACGGCCATCCGACGGCGGGCCGCACAAAGGAGCAGGGGCCGGGGGAGGACGCGACCGATGGCGCACCCAGCCCCTGCCTCCCCGGGCCGGGTGCCGCCGTGCTCCGCTGCAGGGGCCGGGGCTTGCGGAGTCCCGCAGCTCCGTGCGCCTCTCTCGCCCCTGCCCCTTCCCGGCTATTGTGCCGCCCTCGCTCCGCAGGCGCGCTCCGAGCCGCCGTGCAGGGCAGCAGGGCGGCGGCTTGTCTCCGGGCCGGCGCTGGCGCTATCCCATGGCTCCGGAGAGCCCAGAGCCGCGGCCGGAGCCCTCCCGGCGCTGCTGCTGCTGCTGGTCGCGCTGCGGCGGGTCCCGGCTGCCCATGGCCCTGCCGCGCTCCGGCTCGCAGGAAGGGGCGGAGGCAGCGCTGCGATTGACAGCCCCAGGCGGGCCTCTTAAAGGGGCAGCCGGCTCCAGCCTGCGCTCCGCCGCCTTCGGGTGCAGGCCCATACCTCCCCTCGGGGCTAGCAGCTGTGGAGAGGGGCCCTACGGCAGGAGGAGCCCCGTGGCTCCGGCCGGGCCCCTAATGAGACAAAGGCGCAGCTTTGCAAGGCCATGCATATTCATGTCTACTCACATGTGTGGTGCATATGAAAAGGCTGGGTTTTGTTTGTTCTGTAGAGCTCGGGTAGTTCAAGAATTTAGACCCGAGTAGAAAGGGTTGCAGCCCACTACTGGGGGCCCCACCCAGGTCCCACGGGGGAGAGGGGTAGGTGCAACTAAGGAGAGTTCCTAAGGAAGCAGAAACATGCAGCACAGCTGGCTACTAAGTACCCACCTGTCAGGTCGTGTTACAGGACAACTGTAATAACGCCTAGGGGTTCAAGTAACCCTTAGGAACTGGGGAGCAAGGGCCACAACCTGGTTCCCAACTTCCCTCTTTGTACCCATTTCTGGGACAGGAGGGAGACCCAGTTCTTTAAAAGTGCTGGGGCTGGGCAGGTTGAGAACCACGATGATTAAAACTG